GTTTAAAATTGTTTAGCAGCACGACACATAGCTTGTCTTTCGATTGTTCATCTAATATGTGCCAAAGTCTAAATTGTAGATATTTTCTCCCGAATATCACCTTCGAAAATGATTCTCACATTTATGTGATGCCATCTTTCAAGTGGTATTTTTTTTCTAAAATCAATGTATATATTTTCTACAAGTATTTCATACTTGTGTGCACAAATTTAGGGAGAGATTACTCTACAAGTTGGATGCTTTGAGACTAACACATTTTTAAGCTTATCATGTGTGTAGTAGTCTCATTGCAAGGAAAATGGAGTCCCCAGAGTTAAACATCATACTTCAAATATCCACCACCTATTGCAAGTGGTAGAAATCAAATTAATTTCCACATGTGGTATTTCTAAACCGACATCATCATGTTGATTTCATTTTGATAATTATATGCTTTCTCCATGCATTATATAGATTAAATTCCCTTGAGCAATAATTTACCAATTATGCATGTGATTTGCCTTCTACCATATGTATGCATATATTTAGGGGGGAGCTTAATCTATATAATGTGAGTCAAATTTTGTGACCTATTCCACTCCACATATAAAGGTTCACAAAGTTTGACCCTCCCTTGTGCTACTAATATATTCCTTTTCGGTGTTTGATTTCAGAGGGGGGGAATTTAGAGAACCAAAAGCAAGTATTAACTTATAAGGACCAATTGGGAGGATAGTGGATTATGGATTAGCCTATATAATAGGGAGAATTTGTAGGATCATAAGCAAGGCTTAAATCCATAATACCTCATGGGGATTTTTGCAAGGGCAAGATAAGTTTTCAAGTGGTATCTTCTAGTCTTACAAGTAGTATCTTTTAGCATCATATAATCTTGCCCCTTGCATTGCATTCTAGCAAGTAGATAGTTTTAAAATTCCAAAATTTTATTATTTGCTTGCTTTGGTCGTGTTGTCATCAATCACCAAAAGGAGGGAGATTGTAAGGAAAATGGACCATAGGCCCATTTACTTTGGATTTTGGTGTTTGATGACCAACACAGCCAAATTAAACTAATGAATTGGCAAGTGATTATTTTATAGTTCAATAGGGTGCAAAACGTGACTTGGACGAAGGCGACGCGATGATCCGATGATCAACACCATAAGCAAGACTATAGAAGCACAAAACAAGACCCAAGATATCATGCAAAGTCCAAGCACAAAGATAGGAACCAAGCCAGACGCAAGATCGTAAAGAAACGAGTTCACTGAGGTGACCGGATGCTGAAAGGTGACCGGACGTTGGTGGCAAATCGACCGGACGTAGGACTGCAGCATCCGATCGAGTACAAAGAGGTTCCAGAGCGGCGAAATTATGACCGGACGCGTCCGGTGGCATGTGACCGGATGCTGGCAGCGTCCGATCAGTTGATCGTAGCTCTAACGGTCGGTACGACCGAACGCATCCGGTCAGGACATGATCAGCGTCTGGTCAGTAACAGAAAAGCAGGATTTCATCCCAACGGCTACCTTCTCAGTGGGACTTATAAATACACCCCCAACCGACCATTTGAAGTCAGTGGAGCTGAGGAAACATACCTAGGGTGTTGATACACCATTTTAGTGATCTCCACTTGCATAGTGCTTAGTGATTCATTAGGTGATTAGTGTAGATGCTTTATGAAGTGCTTAGGTTGATTAGACCACCGCTTATGCGCTTGCTCTAGGTTTAGGCCTAGTGTTTAGTGAGGTTTGCATACCTGTTACCACTCGGTGCTTGCGCACACCATTGTTGTACATCGGAGGGGCTTGTAGTCTTGCGAGATCACACCAACCGCGCTTGTGGTGTGGCCGCCACCGTGTACCGGAGGGAACAAGACCCGTGACGTTTCGGCCGGAAGCTTGATAGTGAAGACGACGGGATAGGCTTGACGGAAGGCACGTCGGAGACCCACTTGCGTGTGGGGAAGGCCCAAGGCTATCTACGGAGTTACCCGACCGGGAGCTTGTCCCTTGCGAGGGGCTCCAACAAGGACTAGAGGGAAGTTTGCGTGCTTTTCGATACCTCGGTAAAAATACCGGAGTCGTCGATGGAAGTTTGCATATCTCTACCTTACTCTTTAGCTTCCGCATTTACATTGATTGTATTACTCCATTTGCGGTAGAGATAGCAACACACTAGCAAAACCGTAGTTGCACTTTTAGATAGTTTATCTTCTGCATAGGTTTTGCTAAGGTTAGAAAAAGAGGCCACAGTTTAGAGTTAGATTTTTAAGTTGCCTAATTCAAAACCCCCCCCCTCTTAGGCGTAACTGTCCCCTACAAAGGATCAAGGCCCACGCTGATATCATTCAACTCTTATAGATATTCTTTGTCTATTAGCCTAGCTCCACTGGCCTGTTCTTTGGTCTTCACATTTTGAAGTTGAGAAATTTCAAGATTTTCAAGCTTCCTCATGGATCGAAGTTATCTTATATCAAATTCATCAACAGATCCAACCTTGAATTTTAGCCCCTGAAGAGAAGTCAACTTGCCAACACCAGCGATTTCTGAGTGCACTTTCTCATGACCAACAATATTCCGTAAATTAATGAGATTATTCAAACTAGTAGGTACAGAAATATTGCTTCTGATGTCGGCGTTGAAGAATTGAAGGTGATAAAATTTTGTCAAAGCTTGAGGAAAAACAATATTCTTGTGAAGGTCAAAATTTGGCCAAATAAGTGTGGTGGAGGAGACACGAATAAATTCAAGGTAGCGAAGATGACACGGGTTTAGCAAACTAATTGTAGAGCTGACGTCATTATGGGTCACATAAATCCTCACTAATTGTAGAGCTGGACGAAAAGGAGTTTTGGGAGTTCTTCAAAGCATGTGCATTTGGAGAGGCTGCTCAACTCATGAGGACATCTAGTTTGCAACCTCCACTTGAAGCACTGTGATGGGTTCAAGCAACCTTTAAGATTTTATGGGGAAGGCTTGCCTAGCTTTTTCCTTCCCTGCACTCCCACTCATGTGGGAGCCTCCAGCACTAGGTCTGCCCCTTTAGTCGTAAATTTTTTGACTTCTCACATAAAGTGTGTAGGAATCTTAATAGATGTATGCTGCTTTCGCCAAAAACCATCAAGGTCCTCAATTTTTCCCAACACCTAATATTCTCCAGTATTTTCTGAAACTTGTCACAAGGGATACTGCAATGTCCATCTTTCTCATAAGAGGTGGTTATGATTGACAAATGACGGACAATTGGTTGAATGGCCCTAGAGTTGGATCCATTTATAGTGGCGGACTCATTTAGCGAAATCATCTGAGCCAACTCATGCATTAGGTCATGCATGACATAGTCCAAGTGAACCTTTTGGAAAAATCCAAAATCTACTAAGTTATCCAAATATTGCATCCCTGTTTCCTCCAATCTCTTGGTTGGGTCTTCACACTGCACGAAATTTTGTGATATCCAAGCACAGACCAAATTTGCCTCATCAAATCGGTAATCCTCTGGAAATAGAGAGCAGTATGAGAAACAGCGCTGCAGGTGGACTGGCAGAAAATCATAACTGAGCTTCAAGATTGGTAAAATATCATCCATGTCTTCTTGAAGAGATTTCCATTTGTTTTGAATAGTCCTCCAGTGCTCGTAGCTAACATTTCTGTTTAAAAGTGCACCGACACTTCGGGCAGCTCGTGGACAACCCTTTAGTGCTTTAACAGTCTGTTGCCCAATGGACTGCAAACTAGGATGTCCCTCATGATTCTCATTACCAAATGCACATGCTTTGAAGAACTCCCAAAACTCCTTTTCGTCCAGACCTTTCACTTGGACCGGATCCATTGTTCCTATCATTCTTGCAACTGATGGTCTTCGAGTTGTTGGTAAAATCATACAACCAGCTACATGATTGTGTTTTAGTGGAGCTAACAGGCTAGACCATCCCCTCCTATCCTTTTCCTCCCATATATCATCAAATACAAGCAGGAATATTTTGTTTTCAAGATTCTTCAGAAGGATATCCTGCAGTACGTTCAAGTTGGTGGTTTTTTCGAACTGTTGTCTATCTGTGCATACATGCTCCAAGATCTCGCGTGTTAGTCTCATCGTGTCAAAGTTGGTGGACACACAAACCCACATTTGGGCGTACCCAGTACAGAGAGCTCCCGCTCTATGCGAGGCCTGGGGAAGGGTGTCAGTGGCAAGCCTTACCCTCGCCTGTGCAATGCGAGGAGACCGCGACTTGAACCCGGGAGCTTCCGGTCTCAGGTGGTAAGACTCTACCGTTTGCACCAGGCCCGCCCTTCACACAAACCCACATTTGCACATCAAAATATTCTTTGATTCTTTGATTACAGTATACAAATTTTGCAAGTGTCGTCTTCCCAACACCACCGATGCCAACTATAGGCAGAACTTGTAGATCACTAGAATCCCCATTTGTTAACAGCTCCACTATCTTGTCCCTCTCTGCATCCCTTCCATATACCTTGTCTTCGTCTGGAAAAGAAGTTGTCAGGCGTGTGTTGCTGGCCACACACTGACTATGGTTTGCCATTGCAATGCGGCCTGAGATCTCTAGCTGAAGAACCTCCCGCAAAGAGCTGCGAAGTTTGCCCAAACGATCCACTATCCACCTGATCCTCTCAGAAACGGTGCTATAAGTTGGCTCTTACTCTCTGTTCCTTTTTCTGTCACGTCTGCACCAACCAACAATTCGGCTTGCGGTACTAGTACATGCTAGTTGCAAAGATGCAGTGGAAGAAGACTCAGAACTCTCCTCAGGATCAGTACAGCCTTCCCCTGCATTAGCAAACAGGTAGTTGTGATGTGAAAAAAAGCAGATATTGCCTTGAAACCGCTAATAATAATTCACACAAGCTAAAGCATGTCAAAAATCAGAATTAAGCAAAAAATAAACATAGTAGCATACTCAACAGCAGAATAAGTAACGCTGACAATTTTTTAGAGGCAGAAGCAAGGCAGGAAACATGGAAGACGAGTACAGAACAGCGGGGATCTGAGTGAGGTACCTTGTTCGACCTGTTGTTGGAGGCGGTAGTAGTCTACCTCGTCCATCACATCTTCAGCATCATAAAGCAGCTCTTTGAGCTCATCCAGGGACTGGGCCAGTGGCTTGTTTTCAATCCTCCTTCCATCAGCTGCAGCAAGTACCATCTGCACGTTCCTCATCTCAAACTTGAGGTTCTCCACATCTTCGTCAAGCCCAACACCACGAGCCCAGGTTTGGATCTGTTCGGTGAAGAGGCTCCCAAGGATGGTTTGCACCAGCCACCCTATGGAAGCATCCACCACCCCCATCATCTCTCAGTGCACCTAAGGAAGCAAGAGGTGGTCGGAGAGACTGAAGAGATGGATTCAGAGGAATGGAGTGGTATTGTTTGCTGAACAGCTTTGCAGTATACAAGACAATGGGTGGAAGGTTAGGTGCACAGCTGCACTAATATAATGAACTGGCGTCTTTTCTTGTGTGGCTGTGCAGTATACTCCTCTTTGCTAATGGACATAACCTGATGCCAACCTTATGTACAAAATACTAGATCGTGATGTCACCTACCCACTACTAGTGTCGCTGAGTATATGTCATAGAGCTGCTGCCTGTGATTCTGCAATGCAGTTTCTTGGAAGCTGACTAAGCGAGCTTGGATGACGCCTTCAAATGGTGATCTTCACTATAGCCAAGTCATTATCAAATTTGCGAAGCCTGTTCCGGCCGGAAAAATTCCAATTTTCTCTTCTTTCTTGCGTTGCTTCCTGAAGAGAAGAGGTACTCCCTCCCTAAGGTATTTCGGTATGGCATTGGAGCAACAGGCTGACAGGCACAGAGAACAGGGAAGTGGATTAATTCTTTGTTGCAGAGGTAAACAGGGAACAAGACCTGAAGAACACGCATCAGAGTGTTGACGCCCCAAAACCAAAACACGCGCGCGTGCATCAGTGAGGCACCGGACCCAGCGCCGCGTGAAGCGGGTGGGAGCGAGCGAACATGAGATGGAGAGAGAGAGTTCGCGAGCTCAGCACCTGAATCAATCACCTGGCAATGGCGGGCCGTTCGTGCGGCGGCTGCGTGGAATCCGGCCGGGGGAAGGGGGCGCCAGAGCTCGGACCGTGAAGTCGTCGAGACAGCGCCGCACCCCCGCTCTCCTCCTCCTCCGTCGATTAACTCCCAGTCCCAGCAGGGAGCTCGCTCGGCCGGCGGACGGCGGGAAGGGGGCGGTGGCGCGGCGCCCTCCGGCGGGCGGCGCCATGGACGTTCTGGTGGGCTCTGGCATGTCAGGCCCACGTCCTCGTGGACAAACATAGATTGGGTGGAGCGCGGGCCTGGGCCAGTTCCTAGCAGGCCGGTTATTCAGCGCGGGCCGTGGGCCTCGAATCCACGATGATGGTGTAGGGGGATCCCAATTCTCCCTCAGCTGTCAGCTCCAACAAGTTCTTAAACAAGGGTTATATTTAGTATTTATTTATTGATTGATTATTTCGGTCAACTGTCTTGTTCGACTAGCCTTTTTTTTAACTAGAATCGACGGGAGTTAATTTCACCTTAATTATATTAACATGTAGAAGGAGGGAACCAACAGGCGAGGAATAGTGTGGATGAGGTATCAGGAAAGCACCTAACACTTTAGCTTGTTTCTTGATTTTTGCAACGAGCTCGTTTGGCATTGAATATTGTCTGAATTTATTGATTGAAAATTCGAGTATTCTTTTCCTTCCGTAACTCCCAGAAAAAATACAGTAATGTGTTTTGCATGGTATCGACCTCCGTCCACCATTCATCAACCATGGAGAATTGTTTCTAAGTTTTGCCCAATAAAAGGACTTACTAGCACCCGAAGGTCTAGACGGACGGAGCGTCCGGACACCCGTGCCTGCACAATGTTTTCCGCACCGTTTTCACGCGCCCATATGGGTCCCACGTCGCTCCAAACATCACCAGCATCGAGTGCCCTGTTCGCTTGGCTGATAAGCCACAGCTGAAAGTATCGTTGGCTGATTTGTTGTGAGAAAAATATTATTCGTTGGCTGAAAAAGTATGACTTATTTACCAAGCGAACAGGGCGGAGAAGAAGGGGAGGAGGAGGCGGATGTCTAGCCAGCGCTAGGAGGAGGACTCACACCGAGGCGAGGCAGCAGAAGGCGAGGAGAGAGAGGCAACACCCGATCTACTTTTAAAACATTCAGATGCAACACTTGCAACATACGCCTGAAGGCAGATGAAACACTTAAAACATGCATCTGAAATAATTACAAAAATACCTAAAAACACTGAAACCATTGCAAAAACATACGCAACATCCAGATAAAACACTTGCAATATATGTGCGAAACATATGCAACATATAAATAAACACACTTGCAATATACGTCTGAAAACAGATAAAACATTGGGAAGAGAAGCTTGCAACATACGTGTACAACCATTGCAACATATGCAACATCCCGATACTTTTGCAACATACATATGAAACATCTGAACACTTGAAACATAGGCTTGCAGCATGCGCTTTCAGCGTAGCATATACTTGTTGTTTAGACGAATGGAGGCTCGTCAACGCGGAGCTCGATGCAGTGGAGTCCCATGGGGGGAGGGGAGGGTGCCAGCGTACGGACGGCTACGTGGTCCCGACGAGTAGCTGTGTGGCCACAGACGAGCTGCTACGCAGATTCAAGGCGGACTGGGACAAAAGGAGATGTCGCACAGGCCCGAGCGTCATCGAACCATTCGTCGGATCCTTTGCCGCACTCTCCGACGGTTGTGAATATTGAGCATGGGCACGAGGCGTGAGGTGAGTCCCTTTCGCCTTCGCATTGTAGACAACGTCAGCCACTAATCTCGTCGGTGTGACAGAATCGACCAATTTATAAAAGCACAAGTACAATGCAACCACCGAAACGAGCGCACTATCATACTTGAGCTCATATAAACCCGGTAGTCTGTCAAGTACCACGAAGGGTCTCGATTCATCGCCAACATACAACGAAGATCGTACATGATTCAACATACATGCCACATATTACATAGAGTTCACAATTACATTACCATCCATCAGAGTACAATTAAAAGTTATAACAACCCAAGTTCAAATAAAGTAGTAGTAGTAGCAGAAGCAAAGATAGTTTTGAAACTAACATCTCACACCATTGTTCAAATACTTGCCAGTTTGTGATCACATCCCACAAAAGCATCATAGATTAGATATATAGAAGCGCCTTGTCCATGGCCTACTCCTTATCCACGGCGGGACAGAAGCAGTTCTTACAATATCCATGATAGACTGTATTATCTGCAACAAGTGAAAAATAAACCATGAGTACAAGAAGGTACTCAGCTAGACTTACCCGTCATAAACCAAAAATATTGTGACTCCAAGAATCATGCAAGGCTTTTGAAAGGATCAAGATGCCCAAGAGGGGGGTAAATTGGGCTAATTCTAAAATTCTTTGCAATAATTAAACCCTATGCTTAGCCCACTTCACCCCTTGTGCCTAGAAAGTGTTTCTAATATTCTATCGCACAAAAGTTTACCAACCTAAGTTCCAATTCTACTCTAGCATGGCAATTCTATGAATGTAAAGACAAGAATTGAATTGTTCAAAGTAAATGCTTAAAGTAAAGAGAGAAGGAGGAACGCGACGATGTTTTGCCGAGGTATCGGAGAGTCGTCACTCCCCACTAGTCCTCGTTGGAGCACCCACGTAAGGGTGTGGCTCCCCCTTGATCCGCGTAAGGATAAAGTGCTCTCTACGGGTTGACTCTTCGACACTCCGTCGCGGTGAATCACCCACAACCGCTCACAACTAGAGTTGGGTCATTCACAAGCTCCGCCAGATGATCACCAAACTTCCAATCACCACCAAGCCGTCTAGGTGATGACGATCACCAAGAGTAACAAGCATGAACTCTCACTTGACCACGACAAGCCTAATGAGAAGGGTGGATGCACACTTTGCTACTCTTGCTTTTACTAATGAAGCCTCTCTCTTGGATTCTTAAATCTCAATTTCACTGGGACCTTGCTATTCTTGGCACTCTCAAGTATGTTTCTTAGCTGATGGAATGAGCAAAAGTAATCCCTTGAGTGAATAGAGGAAGTATTTATAACCCCTCATTTAAAATGAACCATTATGTGCCACTACGGGGTGACCGTACGCTCCGGTCAAGGTGACCGGACGCTCCGGTTAGTTCACCCGCTACTAAGCCATTTAAGTTGTGACCGGACACTGACCAACGTCCGGTCAGCATTGATCAGACGCGTTCGGTCACAAAAACCGCTCTCTGGAACCTTACTGGAGTTGACTGGACTCTGGCGTCCAGCGTCCGATCACTCACCTCTCAGCGTCCGGTCGCACCAGACGACTTCACCTTGATCAAATGAATTGACCGGACTCTGCGCCAGCATCCGGTCACAGTGGAACCAGCGTCCGGTCAACATCTGACCCTCCATTCACTTTCAACTCGCAATCATATATGAATGAAGTTTGCTCAAATTGATCTTAGGGCTATTTAAGAGCTATCTAGTGCTAGATTTAACAAGTGTGTACCACACCTAACCCACTAGACTCACCTAGGTCAAGCTACTAGTCCATACCCTCTTAATAGTACGGCCAAAGGAAAAACAAAGTCCTAAACTACTCTAAGTGCCTCTTCAACACCAAACGACACTTAGAACTAGTCCATCCTTAACCTTGTCGTTCATCCTTTGAAAACTGAAATGATTTCCATCGTAGGGGCATGACAACCATGATTGCCCAATCAATTGCCATTACCATGACCTAACTTAATTGCCTCTATAAAACACACGTTAGTCATAGTAATCACGTATTGTCATTAATCACTGAAACCCAACTAGGGGCCTAGATGCTTTCAATCTCCCCCTTTTTGGTGATTGATGACAATACCACCTCGAGTATGTGAAAGAGATGAGGTTTTCAACACACTTGGTTCATATAAGCTTTTGACAATAAGAACAAAGGAGTTAGGCAAGCTTATATGACCCAAGCCAACATGATGTACTCAATAGATATGAAATAAGCATGAGTACAAGAAATAAAGCTCTTTTGTATCGGAGTAAAAACGCGGAATCAAGGCAAATGAGCATAACCAAGTGACATGACATATATAAAGATCAAAGTAGAGAGCACACATGTCACATATCACATAAATATCACTACCACATAGATATAGTTCAATGCATGAAACTAAACATGAATGCATAATAAGTATCATACATAAAAATCCAAATGTAATAGATAAGCTCCCCCTAGATATATCGCTCCTCCTAAGACTATCATACTCGATCCCT